GCTGCTCTCACAAGCCTGAGGGCTTTGCAGGCGGAACACAGGGAGGGTCATCTCAGAGGCCAGCCCCTCACTGCCATCCCCACATCCCTGCAGGCCACAACGCCCCGCTGGAAGACGGCCCGGCGGACTCGGCCACATCCCCAGGACTGTAGCTGTCCAAACCACCGAATCCTCCGCGTCCCGACTCCTCCTCTAGGGACTGGCCTGAGGCAGGGCTCAGGGTGGGGAGAGCCCAAACCTCCTCCCTGCGGTGGAGGCAGGCGGTTGAAGAGACAGCTCCAGCCAAGACCGGGGGGGAGATGCGCATGTTGCTTGGTCTGCTCAGATTGGAGTCAAGTTTCCGTGTCTTTTCCCCTCCCTTCAGCCCAACCCTTCGAGGCCTTGTGTCTCCTAAGCATGCTGACTGCATCTGAAAGGCCCCCCTCGTCCCACGGATGTGCGCGCCTGTGTGTGTGGGTGAAAGGAGGCGGCTCCAGTGTAAATGCACTTTCTTCCTCCCCTCCCTTCTCCACAGGGCCCAAGGCTGGGGCGGGTGTCTCCACCTCTCCTCTTTGTCACTTTGGTTTCCTATAAATATGTATGTATTGTATGTGCATCTTTGCTATTGTAAATAACTTTGACCTTTTTTGTTTCTGATCCTGGCGTGCCGAAGGCAGTTACAGAGGGACTGCTAAGGGAAGAGGAGGTTCACTTGTATCTCTTTGTCAGCAGCCCAGCTCCAGGATCAGGGCCCAAAGGTGGAGCCAGCCCTGAGCGCTCCGCCCCCCCACCTCCCGTGGGCAAGGCGGCATCCAGCTTCCGGCCCCGCCTGGCCAGAGAGCCTAGCCTCTGCAGCTCGGTGCTGAGCTACTCCCTCCCTCCTAGGACTTCTCATCTTCAGGGGAACTTCTTACCCCACCTGTGTCCACCCTGCCCCACCCTCTCCCTATAGAAAACCAGTGTATCAGGTACAGAGCTGAAAACTGGGCCCCAGGGAGGTGGGGGTAGGGGTTTGAATGCTGGAGTCCCTAAACTAACCTAGGACCATCCCCAGGGGCCACCACAGCCTTGGCCCCTATTACCACATCCACTCCACTCCCCACAGACTAATAGAATATACACACTGTGCTAGGTGTATATATACATATATATATATAAATATATATAATATATATAAAATACAGATATGGAAATGACTGTTTTGCTGTTAAAATAATGTATACTCTTTTATTTTCTTCCTTTCATGGTTAAGATTTTTTTTTAAGAAAAGTTAAATATTCTTCAACTGTGGTGGTGTGTGTGTGATTCTTGGAACTGCTGTGATCAGAGATATTGTGATATTCCCTCTGAGACTGATTGGAATTGAGTAGAGGGAACAGAAGGCAGCCCCAGACCCAGGCCTTGCCGTATTCTCTCCCGAAGTTCCAGATGTGCACTTCACTGAACTTCAGACTACGCGATACAGCCCCCGTGGCCAGAACACAAAAAGACAACGCGCGCGCGCGTGCACACACGCACGCACGCACGCAGTGGCCCCAGAATCAAGAGCCCTCGTGAGCTGCCCTCAGTGAGCTGCCCTCAGTGAGCTGCCCTCAGTGAGCTTCAGGACTTTCAAGGCAGTACACAGGGGAGGGTCATCTCAGAGGGCTGGCCAGCTGCTGTCATCGGTCCTCCGCGTCCTCCCACAGGCACCCCCTGGAAGCAGCTCATCAGACGTGGCCACACCCCCAGGACTGTAACCACTCAAACTGCTTCTCTTTGCTGTCGTTGTTGGACTAAGGGACAAATTCTCTTTCGCCCCCTAACTGACGTTTTCCCTCCTAAACCCAACGTGATGCTGAGTGCTGACCTTGGGAGCTCACGGTCTAGTTGGGCATCAGAATTAATACACGATTCGTTCTTGATGAAGTGTAGGGGTGCGGACAAGAACTATACGGATCCCCTGGAGCTTTAGAAGGCCTCAGGCAGGGGTAACTGGAGAGGCTAGACGTTACTGGAGAGCGCCTGCTGTGTGCTCAGTGTTGGGAGTTCAAAGAGCTGCTCCCTGCAGAAGCCCAGCCAGCCACCGAGAGGCTGAGCAGCAGCGCAGGTGGTCAGAGGCAGAGAGAGGACTGTTGAGGGCCACGGAGCCCCGCAGAGAGGCAGCGCTGGCAGGGACAGCAGGGCTCTGTCCAGGCAACAGAAAGCGGAGTCGGGGCCGAGAGGATGTGACCAGAGGTGAAGGAGGGACGCTCCCCGAAGAGTGGATGTCAGCTCCCCAGAAGCCGGCCCTGGGCTCTTGGGGCACGGTCGGGTCATCTCAGTGGAGGCTGCGCTGAGGGTGAAGAGTCGGGTCCCCCAGCTCTCCTGACCCCTCTGGCCCCCGCACTGCCTGGGTGGCTCTGGTTTCAGGCGGCTGACAGCAGCAGGCAGTGTCATTAGGGTTCGTGTTTAGTGCTTGGACTTTGCTACGTAGATGACAAGAGACTCGGCACCCTCTCTAAAGCAGCCTGACAACTCTACGTTTTCGTAAGCTGAGCCCTTGCCCCTCCTCCAAACCAGTCCAGACACGTGGGCTGGATGGAGCAGCAGAAGGGGGAAGGGATCCAGGAGGGTGGAAGGGTGGAGCCCGTGCTCCATCCCTCTGCCCCACCCGCTCTTCCACTCAGCCTGCGCGTGTTGGTTACTATCCCGTCTTTCCCTTCTGCCTCTGAGAGCAGAGGCAGTGCAAACCCTCGTGTATCACATGTCCTCCAGGAAACGGGACGGCTGGCACGGGTAGTGACTCTGGTCTGGGCAACAAGAACTAGGTCCTGAGGAGGCAGGAGAGCAACACCCCTGGTCGGCCACCACCAGAGGGGCTGAGATCACCCCCAGCAGAACCATAAAGCCATTCGGCCATTTCTGGCCATGTCAACGCGCTGTTAACAGGCGCAAAGTCCAAATATTCCCAGTAGTTCTGGGACAAAGTTTTCAGACAACCTCAAGGAAAAAAGTACAGCAATAGACTTTGTTAATGATCTGAGCTCTCCTGTGGGAAGGCCAACCCACACATGGAAAGGAGATGCTTCCGTGGCCCAGAATCTCTGGGAAGAAGGTGGGAGGGGGCTAGGTGGAGGAAGCCACAGCCGCCTCCTCTTTGTGCTTGGCTTTACTGACAGGGTCCCTTGGCAGCATCAGCTCTTGGATCGTGGTGTACGCAGGACATTGTGGGGAGAAGCAGTTTTTCTGAAGGAAGAAAAGGAAGGCTGATAGCTGACAAAAGCAATGAAGATTAAGCATCTGGGAGAAAAACATTTCCTGGGACAGGGTGGGTTAGGGGCTGGAGGACATGGAGAAAAGGCAAAGGAGTGTGACCGCCCATCTCACAGCAAGAGAGATGAAGGCTGTGTTGTGATAAAAAGAATAAGGGAAACTACAGGCCTGTCTTGGAAATAGGGAGACAAGCTGCCTGCAGCAGCTGCAGTCCCTGGGCACTCACCGCCAGGGACAGCCGCAGCAGCCCCACGGGGCCCCTGGACGCGCTCTTGGACTCGGAGAACTGTGCCTGGTACTGCACTGCGGTTAGGAAGGCCTCTAGCCCCACCTCTGTGATGCGGTTTCCTGGTGGAAGCAGCAGACGACGTGGCCTCCGGCACTGCCAACCTCCTTCTTGCCTACACCCTCACGGGACACCCTCTGCGACCCTCTTACTCCAAAACTAACCCCCTGCTCCCCCAGCTCCCCAGCTCACTTACCTAGGACTAATTTCACTCCAGCTCTACTTCTCTGACGCCTCCTTTGTCTGACCTCCCTCACCCCCACCCCAAAGCCCCGTGCCAGAGGGCCTTCACCATCATGATGCCCAACCACTGGAGAACCAGGTTCCGCTCCGTGGAGCCAGGGCGGGGGCACCCTTGTGACAGCATGGGGCCCAGCTAGCCTCGTGGCAGGAAGGTGGGGCGTGGGGGGGGGGGGTTGGCAAACGTACGGAGAAGGTTGAGATGCAGAAGGACCCTGTTCCCAGGCATGAAAACTTTCCCATCTCGGTGCTCCACGGGCTCCAGGAGAGGGTTGACCATCTCAGTAGCTTCCCCAACCACCTGCTCAGGCAGAATACTGATTGCAGCAGAGGAGAGGGGAGCTGGTTAACAGGCCATTCATTCATTCATTCAACATACATGCTTTGAGGGCCGGCTACAGTCCAGGCTTTGTCCCAGGTGCTGGGGATACAAAGATAAATAAGCCCATACCCTCAAGAAGCAGCTTTGCGCAGGGGAGCCAGAGAGTAAGAGAGCAATGCAGTATGCTGTCAGAGCTGACAGGGGGAAGCTCAGTACTCTGGGGGCACGGAGGGGGCACGGAGGAGGCACAGCTAGCGGGTCTCGGCAGGGGTCCTGGAGGAGGTGGCCTGTGAGCTGACATCTGAATAGTATGTGGTCCCTGTCAGATGAAGATCAGGGGGAAGTGGCAGCAGGTGCAAAGGCACGTAATAGTGTGTTGGCATTCACTAAGTAATTCCTAACAGGGAGAGCAATGAGGGCAGTGGACTGGAGGGAGATGACGCTAAAGGCAGGAGGAGAGGAAAATGCAACAGTCCTGGGGAGAGTCAGCAGCCTGGATCAGGCCTGGGGCAGGGATAGAAAACTGGCACTGAGGCAAGCCTCGCCCGCCTTCTCCACCCGACTTTCCTCTTTTGTAAGATCTTGTCCTGGGTGCCAGAGAAGACTCCCAGAAGTGGAGGCGCCGTTCCCTGCCAAGGTGGGGAGGTCTTTTGATGACAGAACACAGGCATACCCTCAGAGATATTGTGGGTTCGGTTCCAGACAGCCGCAGTAAAGCGAGTCACATTCTTTTGGTTTCTCAGTACGTGTAAAAGTTATGTTTACACTATACTGCAGTCTAAGTGTGCAATAGCATTATGTCTAAAGAAACAGTGTATATACCTCAATTTTAAAATACTTAACTGCTAAAAAAATGCTAACCATCATCTGAGCCTTCGGGGAATCCTAGTAGTAACATCAAAGATCACTGATCACACATCACCATGACAAATATAATAATAATGAAAAAGCTTGAAATATTGAGAGAATTATCGAAATGTGACCCAGAGACACGAAGTGAGCAAATGCTCTTGGAAAAAAATGGCACCAACGGACTTGCTCGACGCAGGGTTGCCACAAACCTTCAGTTTGTATAAAAAAGAAAAAAATCTGCAAAGCACAATACAACAAGGTACGCCTGTGTAAGGACAGATAGCCCTCGGGTTAGGCTTAGGGTTAGCTGACTCCACTGCGGAGGGGTGGGAGCTGTGGAGTCAGCAGTCCAGGAAGGTTTCCAAAGCCAGGAACAAGTTGGTCCAAGTTTAAATAGAAAAGAGAGGCTGCAGGGGCGAAGGAGAGAGGGTCTCAAGTAGCTGTGCACAGGGTGGGGGAAGTACCACGACTAGGAAGACACCCTGCCCTCCTGGGGAGCTGCTGGCAGGGGCAAAGGAGAATGTGCTTCGTTCCCTGTGCAACTGTACGAGCAACCGTGGGCGTGGTGGTGAGGAACAAATGGCCTTTCGGGAAGCAGACTGAGTTGAGGCAGAGGATCAAAAGTGGGGGCTCCTAATAAGCAAGTTAAGGTAGAAGGGGAGGGGGCACTGAGCTCTGCTACCCCTGCAAGCCCAGGTTGGATTAGGGAGGGGGCCAGGACTGAGGGCACAATGTGAGTTGAAGTGGCTGCTGCCACAGTACAGGGCCGGAGACTCCATGCCAGGAAGGCTGGGGGACTGGACCCCAGGGACGTGTCCCCCACCCCGCTTCTCCTGCAGCCTACCTCCGACTCCGGGAGGATGCTGCGCTTCTCTTTGCTCACAGTCTTGGTCCCTTTTCCCTTGCTTAGTTTCTGCTCAGGGATGGTTACCTCTGGAGTGGGAAGAGGAGCCAGAATGCACAGTGCAGACCTCTGATATGACTCAGTTTCCCCAGAGAGAATGGACTGCGGCGAGGAAGGGGACTCCTCAAACTTTGGGTTTGGGTACAACAGAAATAGAGCTGAAGGGGGGACCCCCAGCTAGGTAGGCGGGTTTCTTCTCCGAGGGCAGGGCCACAGGGGTCCAGCCCAGGAGAAACGGTGTGGAGTGCCGTGGATGGGGCCGGTTGGGGCTTCCGACACCAAGGTGAGAAGACTAGCTCAGCGCAGGCCTCCCGCATCCCGCCCCGTGCTCCTCCTTCCTCCACACCAAGTGGGCACCGCAGAGGGGTGCTAGCACTTACTCCCCTTGCCTGTCTTTGTGGAGTCTTCTTTCTTAGGGGTTCCTTGTGTGGGTGACTGCCCAGACCCTGACTTCTCCTCTTTCTTCACCACTTCCTGTGGGGGATGTAAGAAGAGAGATGAGAGTCCTACCTCCCTGGCAGATGGGGAACAGGTGTGGGAGGGGCCAGAGGTGGACTTTCAAAGGCCTTCCTCCCTCCGCCCCACCCTGTTCCTGCAGCGCCCAGGGCTCTGCTGCCCACAGCACACCTACCCCGGACTTCTCCTTTTTCTTGCCCAGACCCTTAGGGGTCTTCGTTGTCTGCATCTTGTCTTTCTCCACCATTGCGAAACTGCTGACCCTCATCAGCTGATTCTTCTCACGCTCTGTTTTGGAGTCCCCATGTCTGAGAGGTGGAAGGCTGTGCTCACAAATGGGCGGGGATGGAGGAGGAAGAATCCGGCGCCCCTTCCCCAGTGAGGAGTGAGGGGAAGCCTCATGCCTGGGTGGCAGTCGGACTGGCAGCACCCCTACCCCAATCTCCCTGCCTAAATGCTAACATGATTTGTTTGGGACCCTTCTGGTGCAGGTGCTGTTGGGAAGAAACGGCAGAGGGACCCAGGGATGAGCTGGGGGTGGGGGGAGGTGGCATTCAGACTCATACTGAGGGAGAAAACAGTAGCTGACATATTTTTAACTAAGTGCCAGGCACTGTTCCAGGTGTATTAGATGAATTAACTCATTTAATCCTGTCAACAATCCTATGAGCTAGGTACAGTTATCCCCATTTTACAGATGAGGAAACTGAGGCCCGAGAGGTTAAGTCACACGCCCAAGGTACCAAGCTGTTTTGTGGAAGGGCCAGATTCCAAGTCCCTGCGGTCTAAATCTAGTCCTCTTAACCAATACACTCTACCATCTGCGGAGTGGTTCTGCAGTAAGAACCCAAACGTTTGTTATATCTGTGCAGAGGTCGGAGAGCAAAACAGTCACGACACAGGGAGAGAGGACGGGTTAAGACTCGGCCAGCTGGCTGAAAGCAGCCGACCTGGGCAGCGGTTCCAAGGGCTCAGGTCTCAGGCTCCGAGCGCTCCTCACCGATCGCAAGCGCTCCTGCGAACCTTTCTCCAGCAGGAGGCGCCGGCGCTCCACCACCTCGGTGTGCGTCAGCTCGAAGGGGCGCAGGACCTGGGGCGGGGTGGCACCTCGCGCTCAGCCGCCCGGGGAGCGAGAGGATGTGGGGGTCGCCCCCCGGCCCCGCTCAGCCCGCACACCCACCTCGGCCAGCTTCAGGGCACCCTTGTCCTGAATGCGGTTATGGGCCAGGGACAGCCAGAGCAGGGAGCGGTTGAGCCGGAGGCCCTGCGGGGTCAGGGAGGGGCAGTGAGCTGGCTGGCCCCGGGCCGCCACAGCTCGCGCGGGGGCCCCTGCCGGCCTCGCACGCACGTCCGCGATGTAGCCCGCGCCCTCGTCACCGATGTGGTTGAAGCCCAGGTTGAGGGAGACCAGGGTCCGGTTGCAGCTGTGCAGCGTGGACAGAGCCTGGCCTAGGAGCTGCGCCCCGTGGTCGTCGATGTTGTTGTTCCGCAGAGACAAGTGCGCGATCCTGGGCAGCAGGAGGGAGAACGCGGGTCACAGGAAACACGGGGTCCTGGGCGTTCCCCGGAACCTCGGAAAACGGGGGCATGAGGAGGGCCATTCGGTCTGAGGGTGGAGAGGCAGGAATTGAGGGTGCTTGGAGAGGTGCTGGAGGGGCAAGGGAACAAAGGGTGACTTAGAATGGGGGGCAGGCCCAGAGAAAGGGGGTGAGGGAAAGGAGTCTCACGTGCTGTCCACTGCCATGAGCTTGTGATAGGACTGCTCCGGCAGCGGGTTCCCCTCCAGAGACACCTTCCTGAGGGTGGGGGAGATCTGAGACCCAGGAGGCACCACTGAGGCCAGATGAGGGAAGGGGACAAAGAGGAAGGGTGGGGCTCTGGGAAGCAGCTTGGAAACAGAGGCAAAGGATGCACACACACACCCCCGCCCCGCCCAACTCCCTGATACAGGAAATTATGTTACAGTTCTCCAGACTAGAAATCCAGAAGTGTGCCGTGTGAAGGGGTTACTCCCCAGAGTTAGTGAGGTGTGGTAAGGGGGCCTCTGAGATGACCCCAGTGATCCCCACTTCCTGGTATCCATGCCCCAATGCAATCCTCCCCCCTTGAGTGTGGCTGGACCTAGTGACTCACTTCTAATCAATGGCATATGGCAAAAGCGATGGGCTGTCACTTCCAAGTTTAGGTTACAAAAAGGCTGTGGCTTCCAACGCGGGTGCTCTCTGGCACCAGCTGCCAAGTGGTGAGGGCACCCAGATGACCTGTGGAAAGGCTCCCGAGTGGAGGCGCTGTGACCAATCAGCTGCCACATAAGTGAGCCTGGCGGCAGATGCTCCAGCCCTAGTCAAGATGACTGCAGCCCCGGCCAACAGCCTTACCGCAACCTCACCAAGACGCTGACCCAGAGGTGCCAGCTAACCTACACCCGGATTTATCTCACAGAAACTGTGAGATAATAAATGTTGGTTGTTTTAAGCCACTATGTTTTGAAGTAACTTGTTACACAGCAATAGGTACCCAATACATGACCCCTCCACAAGGCAGTGGCTTCTCCAACAGTACTGAGAAAATGGAGGTGTTTTTCCAAGTCACAAGAAAAAATGGAACTAATGGCTGGAAAATTCTCTATTAAAAAAAGTTTCTCTCGGGACTTCCCTGGTGGCACAGTGGTTAAGAATCTGCCTGCCAGTGCAGGGGACATGGGTTCAAGCCCTGGTCCGGGAAGGTCCCACATGCCACGGAGCAACTATGCCCGTGCACCACAACTACTGAGCCCGCATGCCACAACTACTGGAGCCCATGTGCCTAGAGCCCATGCTCTGCAACAAGAGAAGCCACAGCAATGAGAAGCCCGCGTGCAGCAATGAAGACCCAACGCAGCCAAAAATTAATTAATTTTTAAAAAGTTTCTCTCATGATATTTGCCCAACCTTTCAGCCTGGCTCATCTAGCAACTAAACTTGATTGCATTTATTTTTAATTATTTTTATCATGTTGATCTGACTTATTTTTACATATTAAGATGAATTCTATAGTTATTCTCCTGCTGGCTAAATTGTTTCTAATTCCCACGACGGAATACAATATGTGTTTTGTGGTGTTCAAGACAAAGAGCACCCAAGGACCTCCAGCTGAAGGAGACAAAATCCCTGCCCTCAAGAAGCATCCATCCCATCTACAGGAGGAAGACAAGTGAGGAGGCAAGCCAGTGACGGTGGGTTCTGTGAAGCAGGAGAAGTCAAGGGTGCTGGAGGAGCTTCAACAAAGGGCAGCCAAATCAGCTGTGTCCTTTATACAGCAACCACCCCTGTGGTTATACTGCTCCACACCTTGCTCTGGCTCCCTCCTATACAAGAATGCCCTTTCCCAGTTCCCTGCCGGGCCCCCTCCTATTCCTCTTTCAAGGCTCAGCTTGGCACCACCTCCTCCAGGCAGCCTTCCATGTCTCTCATGAACCATTCTTCCACCACTACAGTCCCCACAGTGCCCTGCAGTATCCACTCCTATGCCCTTCTCCCTCCCTCACTGGACTGCCAGTTCCTGTAGGATAAGAACCAGTCCCTAGTACAGTGTCAGACACCAGGCAGTGAGGAACCTCCAGGGAGAGAGCGGGTAGTGGTGGGACTGATGGAGAGGAGAGGCGATAAGGCCCCAAAGGTAGGCTCTTTAGGCACCAGAGTAGGCAGAAAAGGGGACCTCAATGCTTGTCAGATGAGAGCTTCAAAACCCAACAGACAGTAGCAGCACCCTCTTTCCACAGGGATGCCAGCCCAGGCCACAGGAGCTGGAACTTGTCACCCCCGTCCCCAAACTGCTCACTTCTGACCACCCAGCCAGCCAGGCTACCCAGGTAGCCTCCCCCTTGCCTATTCCCCTCTGCTCACCTGAGCGTGGATGAGCAGAGAGGCAGGAGGGCGATAAAGGTGGTCAGGGTCTTATCAGTCAGCCCCACCTTCCAGAAGCTGGAGATGGTGGGAAGCACAGAAACACAGCTGGAGCACCACCTCCTTCCCACCTTGTCCTCTCCAGCCACCCTGACACCCCAGCCACACCCTTCCTTGTCACCTTCCGCACAGTCCCCAGGGCCTTCCGTGCCCCTTCAGTTCTTTCTCCCAGACCACTGGTGGCCCGTCTCCAACACTGGCCTCCTGCCCCTCCCCCAACCCCATGTCCCCTCACTTGATGGCCTGAAGCTGGCTGAGGGAGGGCAGACACTTAGAGAAGATACCCAGGATACGCTCCTCAACCTTCCAACCTGCGGAAGGGAAAGGAAGAAGGCGCCTCAGGCCCGGAGAGGTGCGGTGGTGGACGGCTGGTGAGAGGGACTGGTGGGGGGGCGGACCTCACCGCGGATGTAGATTTCCTTCACGGACTTGTCCTCAGGGTCCAGCTCCACCTGGATGGTGGGCCGGAAGAACACGTATTTGCTCTCCAGGCTGTTGAAGCTGCAGGACCCGGACAGCGGCTGTTCGTCTAGAAGGCAGGGGTGCGAGGAGCCGGGGAAGGAGGGAGGGGGCAGAGTCACCGCCCCCGGGCCCCACGCCCCGGCCGGCCTACGGGAGCCGGAGAGGCCGGGACGGCTCCCACGGAGCCGCGGGATTGGAGGACTCCGCCAGACCGCATCTGCGAGGGTTTGGAAAGGACGACGGAAGACCGCCCCCACCTCCCCACCAGCCCCCTTGAATCCACCCTGCTCACTCACACACACATTGCCCTGCGTCCCCGCCATTCGGCCCGCCGAGCGATGGGGAATGGACGCGGTAGGCCTGGCAGACACCCCGGCGTCTCCACTGTCACTCACCTACGGTGGGCTTTTCCGACGTAGAGGCGGAGGGGACGAAGGTTGGATGCGGGCGGGGCCGGGTGACCACTTTGGGGAAGTCCGTGTAGCCCCACCGCGTGCAGAACTCAGCGAAGTCCACCTCGAGGACGCCGGTGCACTGGTACTCCTCTGTGGGGGCGGGGACGAGAGCGGGAGGGGAAGCGTAGCGCCGCGCCGCGCCGCGCCCGCCCCCTATAGCCCAAGGCTGCCAACAGAGGGCAGCAGAGACCAGAGGACGTCCCACCCAGCCCTGCGCCCCCGCCCGCCAGGGATCGGCGCACTGCGCCGCGTTCCCACGCTCGTCCGCGCGGGGTTTCGGGCTTCTGGGCGGGCAGCGGCCCCTCCATCGAGGCAGACGTCCTCTCAGCCATTTTTAACATGTAAGATGCGTTGTAGAGACCGACACTGAAAACACTTGAGAGGAAACAGTGGGAAATCAAGACCTAGGAGGAAGGGGACTAAAGGGCGTGGAATGTAGACAATGAGGGCGCCTCTTTTATGTGCCGGCTCGTCCACCCACCCCGTGGGTCAAGGCCGCTTCCACTCCCGCTCTCCGCTCCCTGGGGGGCCTCCTCCTCCCCAGCCCAGCCTCCTCCCACGTTCCTTCCTTGCGGGGACTGCCCAGGGTCACACGGAGAAAGAAGGCCCAGGCCTGATGTGAGCAAAGAAAGGAAAGCAGAAGGACCTCTCCACCTGCCCCCGCTCCCACCCCCATCCCCACGCCCGCACTCGGGTAGACCGAGGCCCAGCAGGGTGGTAGGCTTTTATTTATTTAGCAAACATTGATATAGCACTTACTCCTGTCCCACACGGTTCTATATATGCTTTGGAAATCTTAACTCATTCAAGAGTTTTATTAATTTAGACAGATGCCCACCACTTCCCATCGTGAGGGCTACGCAAACCTGAGGTGCCTGAGTCCCCAAAGACCCCTGCTCTTTCCTGCTCGCGCATGGGCATCCCAACAAGAAGTGGTTCCTTGAGACGGGAAGGGGTGTCCCTGGCAAAGGCGAGAAACCGGAGGCAGAAGGGTGGGCTTGGTGCCAGCCTGCTCTTCCAAGTGCAGGACAGCCTGGAGCCCCACAGGCAGCAGGTGCTGCAGGGACTGTGCCCCGGACAGAACCCCTGCAGCCAACAGCAGGGAGCCTGCCCAGAGGGTGCAAGGGGGCTGGCAGGACGTGTGCTCAGCACTGTGGGGCAAGATGCAGAGAGGTTTGAGGGTTCTCGTGGCAAAAGGGTGAGAGACACAGGCACCCGAGAGACATTAGCTGATGGACAAGGCTGATGAGAGGAGGCATTGGGAGGCTAGGGGAGCCCCTTGTACAGCTGACTCCTGCACACTGCCTGCTTTCCCGGACTCTCCCCTCTGCTGGGAGGGTCCTTCCCTGCTTCACTCACACCATCTTTCCCCAAACAGAGGTTCTCAAACTTTAACATCTTTCTGTAAGAATCAGTAGGAAAGCCTGTTAAAGCAGTTTGCTGGGCCCCATCCCCCCAAATTCTGATTCCATAGGCTGGGTAGAGTCTGTGAATTTGCATTTCTAACCAGCTCACAGATGATGCCAAAGATGGTCCAGGGAGAACCGCTGCTCTAGACCAGCACTGCCCGACAGGACATACTGGGACGATGGAAGTGTTCCACCTCTGGGCTGTAGCTAGCAGTGACCTAGTGGGCAGCACAGCTCCGAAAGGGCCTTGCTCCTGCTCTCCTCCCCTCCCACACTCCCTCCTCACACTCGCTATGACCTTGCCTCGTAGCTCCTTGAGAAATAGAAGCCACCAGATGCGATGTCCTCTCAATCTATCAACGTTCCTACAACTGCCTTCACTCGCTACCCCATTTGAGCCCTGCCACAACACACGATAGCGGCTGCTAAAGCCGCTGTGACCGTGTGGCCCTGTCCTGTTATCACTCCCTTTCTCTCCGACCCCTCTGGCTCCCCCTGCCTGGGGGAGCTCCTTCTCCTCTAAGATCACTGAGTCTGGGTCCTGAGCCCTTTCCTGTCTCCGGTTCCACTCCCCCCTCCCCAGGGGAATCTCTTTCATTCCCAGGGCTTAAATGCACCCAAACATCAGCAGCTCCCCAATTCACATCTCCAGCCCTGACATCTTCTCACCGCTCCACACGCTTCCATGCAGCTGCTCAGCCGACATCACCCCTTGGAGATCTCTTACATGCTCTTCCTTCAGGCCTGCCTGTCTCCATGAATGGCACCTTAACCCACCCCGTGCCCAGTACAGAAACATGAAATCATTCTTGCTACCTTCCCCACTTTCCACCCCATCCACTACTTCACGAACTCTTTTCTGCCTCAGAAGTACTGTTCCAAGGAGCCTAACCCATCTCCCTCACTACCCGAGTCCACAACTACCACTGTCCCTCACCTGGGCTATTGAAATGCCTCGTAACTCAGCTGCCTACCTTCATTCTCTCCCTCTGCCACTCCATTTTCCACACAGCAGCCAGAGTGGTGTGAGTGTGTGTGTATGTGTGTGTGTGTGTGTGTGTGTGTGTGTGTGTGTGTGTGTGTTAATGTAACTAGGTTCATATCTGTAGGAGATTCTATCCTGTCTTGTCTCTCCTTCTGGAAGATGCTCTTTCTCCAGCTCCCATAGCTTCCTCCGCCCGCCCAGCCACCAGCACTGACAAGGAGATGGCACCTGACCAATGTCTGACAATCAGAGTCTTTTCCCAAGTTGTTTTTCCTTGAGTCCAGAGACAGCAAGTTCCTGTCCCTCTTTGAAGGCAAAACTGGTAGATTTGAATCAAGAAGCCTTCCAATCAATTCCCCTTTGTGGATAATTCATTTGGGTTGGGGTTCTATCACTTGCAACATAAAGAGCCACGCTCATACGCGTACTTTTCCAATGGTTTTCTTTTCCTAGAGAATGTAAATTCCATTCCAGCTGGACTGTGTCCATCTCGTTCTCTTTCTATTGGACCTGACCACAGAGCAGGCATCCAAAAAGTAATTGTTGAATAAATGAATGAATATCTATAAAACTAAACTCAGAGTCACCTCCCGGCAGCGCCCCTGTGTCTTTCCACCACTCCCTGGACCTTCTTCTCTGATACAAATTAGCACATCTTATTGTATGTGTCAGCATCCCAAACCAGAGTGTGGCTTCTTTAAAATCAATTCAAACATCTGCCAAGCTGAGTCTCAGGAACTGTGCTGGGACGAAAACTGTGATTCATATCCCAGGATGGAGCAGGGCGCTTTGGGTGGGTGCACAATGTACGTTTGTTGAGTGAACAAGTGAATTTGCAGTTTATAAAATACTTTCTCACCATCAACTCTACTGTGCCTCCCAGTAATAGGCAGGGCAGGACTCCATACTACTGAGAAGAAACGTGCCTAGTAACACGTGCACACCTCATAACGGTGACCACTTATAACACCCTTACCATGTGCCCGGAGCTAGTTACATTCACATATTGAACTTCAGCTGGTGGATCCCTTTTCCACACAGCGCTCCTCAGCGCCAGAAATTCTGTTATTATTTACTGGCTCGTCTGTCTCGCCCGCCATTGCCTGGCACAACGAAGACGCCCCATCCAATCTGGCTAACCCGAGCGACGAGTGGCTGTTGGGAGCGCGCGGAGAAGCCTAGAGGCCTGATCCCCCAACCCCGCCACCAGCGTACCAGGGTTTTTGGGTTCCTCCTCCCCCACCGGCGGCAGGACGGTCGTCGGCTTCTCCTTGGCCCCGCGGTCTCCTTTCCTGGTCACTGCACCGGATGACTTCTGGATCCCGGGACGCGGGGCCCTGGGTGAGGCCACTGGTGGTGCGCTCGCCTCGCCCGACATGCTGGTGCCGTCCGCAGCGACTCTGGGGACACTCACGGGGGCAAGGAGGCAGGACGGGATTCTGTGGGGCTCGCCCTGGAGGTGGCCGAATCAAGGGTCTCTATTCCGCGTCCACAGGCGGGACCCGCCTGCCGCGGCGTCGCCTCAGCGTCCCTCTCCAAGACAACCGCGCGAGGTGGGCGGGCCCGAGGGCAAGGGGCAACCACAGAGCGCACGCGAGGCCGACAGGAGGCACCACAGAGTCATCAGGGGGCGGAAGGAGCCCGGAGGGCGGAGCCGCGGAACTAGGGCAGCCGAGAAGGGCGGGGCCAGGGCGGAGCCTGGGCAGCCCTGGGTCACAGGGGCAGGAGAGCCCACTGGAGCCCTGGAGGGCCGGACCCCGCGGACCCTGTGCGAAAGGAGAAGGACCTGGGCGGAGCCGTGGCGGAGGGAGACGAGCGGATATCGTACTGGACCGGAGTGGAGGGGGCTGGACTAGAGCGAGACCAGGACGGAGAGGCGGGGCTAGGGGGCGGGCAAGGAGCTGTCCAAAGTCACCCGAGAAACTGAACCGGGGAAAGCCGGGATCCGACCCCGTGTATTAGAGATAGCGGCAGTCGGAGGAATCTAGGGAAGCAGGGTCCGGTTGGAGACAGATCCACTCTCTGGGGTCGGCCCTCCTACCCTGTAAGGAGAGGACTCCTGATGGAAAAGGCCCAGAGAGACCCACCGAGTTAGCGAGCTGGCGTGGCTCTGGGTTTGTAATCTCGACCCCATCTATGTAGCCTCCTGGAGGTCTGGGGACTTAGTTGATCCGCTAACGAGTTTAGGAGGCGGGTCACGCTTCCAAGAAACCTTGGATTCAAAGTCCTCAGGTAGCCTAGACCCTACCGGGCCCCCATCAGAGTATACTCTCTCCCCTCTGCTTTCCGGGCTCCAGCCTCCCCACTCCAGTCTGTTCCCCTCCCCGACCGTCACTCCCAGACCTTCCCACCATTGAGCTTTTGTGCTGTTCCCCTGTAGAAACGCCACCCTTTGGGGAAGACTCTGACCTATGCGGTCTTTCAGCTCTCAGAGCACCAGTTTGCCCAGCTATCTTAGCACTTGCCAGCACTTACCACTGGTACTTTTAACTCACTCAGCCACTCAGCCTTTGGGGGAACATTTATTGAGTGCCTACCATGTGCCAAGGGGAGCCAGTGTTGAACATAAACACAGGATTCCTGCTTTCGGGGAACTTAAGAGTCTGGTGGGGGAGGCAGAGATTAATCAAATAATCACACTAAAAAGCAACACATTACAGAGGTGCCTGGCACCCTGTAGGCCTTCTACAGGTAACTGGTGCATGAACACATCAGTAATCAGTGCTGTGAAAGAGAACATGGGGTGTGAGGGACAAGCAGGAGTTAACAGGTGAGTGGGGGAGGAAGAGCATTCCAGATGTGCCAGGTCCCTGTAGTAGGAAGACGTGTGGCTGATAGGAGGACGTAGAGGCCAGTGTGACTGGGGCAGAGTGATAGGGAACACAGTTCAGAGTGAGGCTGAAGAGACAGGCAGGCCAGGCCGGCAAAGCCTTTAAGGCTTTGGACAATTTTGACTGTAGCCCAAGGGCCATGGGGCACCCACGGAGACTTTCAGGCAGGGGTAACCTAACCAGCTTGTATTTTGAAGCAGTTGGTTGGCGGGAGTACCAAATGAATGCAGGGAGGCCAGTCACGCTATTTCTAGAGTTAACTGGGTTTGGGCTGCCTCTCCACTATATAGTGAGTGCCCCAAGACAGGATCAGTGCCTGGTACGCCTCTGAAAACATGCATGCACGCACACACAGAGCCTAGCCCGGGAGTGCACAGAAAAGTTACCCAATATACACTTCTTACAGCAATCTGAAATCAGAGTTATCCAGCAACATTCAACCCACCAGTTTATGTATACAGGGCCCTGGGGGCCTTGGGGAGCAATGGGTTGGGGAAAAGGAACACAGGTTTCCTGCTGACCAGTGTTTCCCATGGTAGAACCTGGGAGCCAGGCTCCCATCTCCTCTCCATTCACTTCCTCTATTAAACATGTTCATGTTCACGGCCGGCCAGTCCTCTCCCTGCTCCTGGCAGGGTACAGCAGGCTCTGTCCTCAGCCTTGAGCAGCAAAGAACCGGTGTGCTGACCTCTGCACACCATCTTGGCTCCTCAACGGTCCTGGCGCCGAAGTGGGGGTGACGGGGGATGCCGTACTGGAGGCAAGTCATAGTGTCCAGGTATGTGGCTGTTCTTGGGTGAGTCATAGTGGCCAGGAGGCAGGCCCGGAGGCAGAGACGGCTGGGAACCCACAGAGTCTCGGTCTGGAGACAGAGAGGGATGAAGATGAGAAGGAGGTGGCTCCTCCCCCTTCCCACCACTCTCCTCCCCTCTCCACCCTCTTCTGCCGGAAGACGGATGCGTAAGTGCCTGGCTATAGGCCAGTTTGTGCAGCTCCTCAGCCGCCAGTGGGGGAGGCCATCTCGACCTGCCCACCTCACAGGATAGGAAGATGCTCTGTCATCTGCCTTGTTCCCACCTTTTCTGGGTATCAAGTCTACAACTCAGGTGCTGTAAAGCCACCATTTCAAATCCTCAGCCCTCTGAGGGAGGTACCGCCACCTACAGGCTCGAAGAGGCAGTGTGACTTCCCAAACCACCATTTCAAATCCTCAGCCCTCTGAGGGAGGTACCGCCACCTACAGGCTCGAAGAGGCAGTGTGACTTCCCAAACGTCATGCCTGGTTTGAGCCCAAGTCTGACGCCCAAAGGCCTTGCTCTTGCTGCCACTTCATGCCCACTCCGCATTCCCGCCCTCTGTCCCTTCTCTTCTCCCACCTCCCCTGTCCCTGTTCTCTCTGCCCCAGTGGAGAAGGAAGGCTCACCATGGGTCAGGGGGCTGGGCTGCTCATAGGTGCCACTGTCTCTCTCTGGCTGGGGGTGTCGCCGCCTCTGGCTGTCCCGGAGTTGGGGCGGCTGCCTGGGGGGAGACCCTGAGGGAGGGCCTTTCATCTCCATGTAGCTGCTCTCCCGGGGGCTCCCTAGAAGGCTGGGCAGGTCCCGGATGGTGGCGTAGGGGTTCTCACTGCTCAGGGAAGCCACGCTGGCCCCCAGCCCCTCTTCAGAGATGGGCCCTAAAGATAGGGGAAAGAAATCAGGCTCAGTGGAGGCACTGGCCCCTAAACCCCAGCGCAGCTCCCTCCGTCGCTCCCCCGCCCTGCCCTGCCCTCACCTTTACTGTAGAAGGGGCCTGGGCCATTCCTGTTGCTGTAGCTACAGCTGTAGCTTCGGTCCAGGCGGCTGTTACCTGAGGAGGAGAAAGCAACCTGCAATCAGGCCCCTGGTCCCCTGCCCAAGGTCCCACCTCCTCTAGAACTGGGGCCCAGAATCCCCTTCCACAGACACACGCACTCAGATGAAGCAGGACGCTGGGCTGTACACATCCCCCTTCACCAGAGGCCTTGGGCCCCAGGCTCCTACCCCTGTCCAGAGGCCCTGGAGGGGGCTGCCGGCGGTGCTTCCAGTCAGCAGGTAGTGTGGCGTGGTTGTTATCATGCCCGTGGGCTCCACCTGGCCGCTCGGGGGCCTGGAGGCTGGCAAAGAGCTGACTGCCTGGGACCTGGCAGGGGAGGGGTGGGACAGGGAGAGCGACGTGCGCGGCTGGAGCTTTCCGGAGGACCGGGCTGTGCCCACAGGGCATCCACAGTGCAGCCCCACCCCCAACACTGACCTTGTTAGGGGGCGGGGGGTTAGGTGAGCACTGAGACAGGGTGTGGTAGCTGGGGTTGGAGTAGTAGTGACTGTAGCTCGGAGGGACATCTGCACAAACAAACACAGTTGCAGGGTGACCTGCCCGGTCAGAGACAAGCCTGGGCCCAAGACAGTCATTCTGTTCCAGGAGATCCGTAATCAGCCTCTCTGACCTCTCTCACTCTCTCCATCTCCCCGCTTCAGGGAGGGATGCAGGAGGGATGCAGGAGCCCCGCACCCCATCTGCCCTGTACCTGAGAGCCAGCCACTCATGTGCGTCCCCGCCCCCAGGCCAGCTCACCTGGCATGACGTACTCAGAGCCGTCCAGCCGCCCGCTGCTGTAGGCCACTGCCAGGTGCTGGTGCGCTTTGCCTTTTTGCCAATGGCGGTAGCCAATGAACAGCGCCACCAGGGCCACCACCAGGGATCCCAGCACTGCAATGCCAATCACTGCCCCGAGTGAGTTATAGGCCACTGGAGAGGTAGGCATCATGGTGAATGGCTCCTGGCTTCCTGTGGGGGACGGGGTGGTCACTCAGGACAGTGTCTTGGCCCTACTGGTGAGCTGGGGATGCATGCGTGGGAGAGGCCCCAGTAGGGGGGCAGGGTGATACAAGGGTACCACCTAGCAGAGACCTGGGCATGTACCTGTGTCCTGGTTCCCTGGGCACAGTGCGGGGCGGGGTGGGGGTAGGGAGGGGCTAGATGAGAACTCACCAATCCTGCAGGGGGCGCCACTGTGCCCTGGGGGACACACACAGGCCCCAGTCTCTGGGTGGCACCTCTCTCCGGGACCGCACTGGCATGGTTGGGAACAATTGGCACCGAACACCCCTGGAGAGCAGCCTGTTTAGAGAGCGGAGGAGGCAGGCGGGGATCAGAGGGGCCAGGGAACAGCAGTCCCCTCCTCAGGCTAGGGCTGACTTGGAGGCAGGGGCATGGAGTTCCCCTTCTGCTGGTACCTTCCAAGCAGAGATGTCCGGTCCGGCCTGGGGGGCAGAAACAACTCCCATGCTGGGGGTGGCAGGTCCCGCCATGGCGACACTGGCAGAGCTGGGCACAGTTGGCCCCCCAGTGTCCTAGAGGGCACGCTGCAGGAGACAAGGTTGGAGCCTGTCTGGTGGGCAGGGCCAGCCCCTCCTGAGTGAATTCTCAGCCCCCAGCATCACTGAACTCTTCAGCTCAGCTTTGGTCTCCCCAGGGGCACCAAGGCTTTGAACCGTATCTACACGCTGATGACTCACAAATGCTTATCCGCAGCCCTGTGTCTTGCCTGAACTCCAGACCCACGTGCCCAGCTGCCTGCTTAACTTCTGCACTTGCCTATCTGATAGACTTTCAAAATAACGTGACCAGGGCCAGACAACCAAAGGCTTCCAAACTATCCTATATTGCTTAGCTCTAGACCTTTTTTTTTTAACATAAGAGAGAAATAAGTGTCTACATTATTCAAGGTATAATTTTTGTGTATCTGACACTAGCAAAAAATCTAATAGTAGTTACAGAATTCTATGGAAAAGCTCTTGTCCAAGATTACTTCCCTCTACCCTGCCCATCTTTTTCATGGTAATGGCTTCTCATTTCCCCTTTTCAAAATTTGTTTGACTCAGTTTTCTGGACTAATCTTTTCCATGATGTCCTTCTTATATTTATGTGGGAAAGAGGCCATGTATAAATAAGTAAAAATAAGTTGGCAATCCAAAAGAAAAAAAGAACATGTCCAAAACTGAGCTTATGATTTTCCCCGCCCCCGTACAAACACTGCTTTTCTCAGGCCTCCCGTGCAGAAAGGCAGGGAATTTTTTTCCCTGACCTGTTCATTGCTGCATCCTGAGCACCTAGAACAATACCCAGCATGTAGGTGATGCCCAATAAATTTTTGTTTATAGTGTTTATATAAATGGCTGAATCAAGGTGGGTTCGGAGGCTTTTATACCCAGGAGCAGGGGAAAGGAAGCCTCTGGTCCTCAGCCCACCCCCTCATGCACACATGCTCAGACACAGGAGCCACCACCTACGTTGGGAGCAGTCAGGGCCTGTCCAGCCAGCCATGCAGTAGCAGGTCCCATTCGAAGGGTGGCAGGAGGAGTGGTTAGCACACTTGCAGGGCACACAGCGTTTGCCGTAGCGGCCGGGCTGACAGGCTGGGGGAAAGGGGCTCGTGGTGACCAGGGGCAGGGGCCAACCCTCAGTCAGCCCGTGACCCCACTCTCTCCCTCCCTCCTTCCCACTGCAGCAACCGGCCCAAAGACTGGAGTCAGCACAAGAGACCAAGAGGGGTAGAGTGGGAGCTTCAGGCATCTGACACTACACTGCACATTACTGCTGGCAGGCAGGGGGAGGGGAGGGAGCCTCACATCTCTGGCAGGAGGGGCCTCGGAATCCAGGTGGACACACACAATTGCCATTCTCAGGGATGCAGGTGCCCCCATTCTTGCAGGTGCAGGTGTTGCTACAGTTGGTTCCCCAGAAGCCCTCAGGGCAGGGCAGGTGGCAGCGGGTACCTGTGAGAGGGGTAGGATGAGACTGGCCTGTGGCCCCCCTTCCGTAGGGTTTCTTCTGAACACATGTCCTGTGGGATGCACCCCCCAACTCCACAGTAAGCCCGGGGCCTGGACACCCAGAACGCTCACCTGTCCAGCCAGCTTGGCACTGGCAGTGTCCGTGAACAGGGTCACAGCCATCAGAATGGTCACAGTCACAGCGGCTGGCACAGCCTTCACCAAACATCCCCTTCTTGGAGAGGGAGTGGAGGGTAGGATAGGCCAGTCAGTTGGGGGGTGCTGTGCCCTTCCCTCCCCCAGGCAGGCAGACTGTTGTGCACTTACCAGGCAGGGGAACTGGCAGTGGGTCCCGTGCCACCCAGGGGTACAGGTACAGGCTCCAGTTTGGGGGCTGCAGGCTGCCTCGTGGGCACACTGGCAGCTGGCATTGCAACCAAAGCCCCAGGTTCCAGGCGGGCAGGGCACGGAGCAGTTACCATGCTGCCAACCTGGAAGAGGGGACTTGCAAGTAGGCATGGGGACCTGGCTCCGCTCCTGAGCAGGCACACACTGGGCATTGGCTCTGCCAGGCTCTGCGCTATGAGCTGGGGCTGGGGGTGGGGATGCCCATGGCCGCACAGGAGACAAGCATAGAAACTGTTGGATGTTGGACAGAAGGTTGAAAGACCACAGGGGATGCACCACCACCTTCTGGGGCTTGGTTGCCTCTTCTGCAAAATGAAGGAGGGTGGCAGCAAACCCAAATGCTTACAGAGGCCCCAACAGGTAACTAAATGAGTTCTCCAGATCATGTGTAAGACAACAGGGAGGAGTGGGGACTGGAGACTGGACTTTTGTTAAATATGATAGAGAGCTAGTCCAACAAAACATATCTGTGTCCGAATCTAGCCTAAAGGTTGCCAACGTGCCACCCCTGGTAGATCTCCAAGGCCCTTGCTGGAGCTGCCATTCTGTGATTCTGTATGTCTGAGGATGAGGAATGATCTGCAAAGAGGTACCTCTGGCCTGGGCCTTTAAGGACAATTGGGATTTTTGTGGTTGAAAAAAAGCAAAGCGGATATTCCAGGAAGGAAGTAGCCTGGCTACTTTCCCAGCAGTCCAGCTGCTGACCAGTGCCTCCACCCTTACCCTGCAGCCTCTCCCCTACCCTTGGCCTGCCTCTACCCTTGGTCTCTCCCTTCTTCGCATGGCCCCGCCCCCAAATCCCCTTCCGGGAGATCCCAACCCGTTACCTTCCTTGCAGACGCAGGTGCCGTCGATGGGCGAGCAGGCGATGGCGTTTTCGCAGGAGCAGCGTGCGGAGCAGTTGACTCCATAGGTGTCAGGGGGACAGAGGCTAGCGCAGTGCGGGCCCTGAGAGCGGGCGGGAGCACCAGTGAGAGGAGCGGGCGGGCTCCCGGGCCTCTCCGGCACCTCCCTCGCGGCGGGGCGCGCCTCACCGTGTAGCCGGGCGCGCACCGGCAGAGGCCGCTGTCGGGCTGGCAGACGCCGCCGTGCAGGCAGAGGCAGTGCTCCTGGCAGCCGGGCCCGTGCGTGTCCTGCGGGCAGCTCTCGTTGCAGTGGAGGCCCGCCCAGCCCGGCAGGCAAGAGCACTCCCCGCTCATCGGGTGGCAGCTGCGGGCGGAGGCGGGGGCGCGGAGCGGTCTGAGGCCGGGTCCGCAGGTCGACTTCCCCGCCCCCTCCGCGTGGTGGGAGGCGAGCATCGCCGAATTGAGGGGGACATCGGGGAGGCTCGGTGCTGTTCCGAGAGCGGTCTCTCCCCGTCCCCGAGGCCCCTCCCCTTTCCCTTCTGTGAGATCTGCCCCGCCCCGGGTCCTTTTTGTGACTCCGGTGGCTTCAGCACCGAAGGCCTCTCCCATTGGCCTCCAGACCCCTTGACCACAGTGCCCGCGGCCTACTTGAGACTGTGTTCCGGGTCGCAGGTGCAGGGCATCTGGCAGCTGAGGCCGTAGAGGCCGTCGGGGCAGAGACGTTCGGCGCAGCGGTCCCCAGTGAAGCCGTGTTCGCACAGACACGCGCCGTTGGCCGGGAAGCAGCGGGCGCCCGTGGCGCAGTCGCAAGTCTCAGCACAGTCCTGCCCGAAGCGGCCCACGGGGCACTCCTCACGGCACCTGGGCACCTCGCGGGAGTGAGCCTGGCCACGCCGCCCGCCGCCGCCCCCGGCCCACCCCAGGCCACTCCCACCCCAAGCCAACACCACTCACCGGTCCCCTGTGTATCCCGGAGCGCAGCGACACTGCCCGGTGAACCGGTCGCAGAGGCCGCCGTTGTGACAGCGACATTCCTGGGAGCAGTTGGGTCCATAGGAGCCCTCGGGGCAGGGCAGGGAACAGATGGTGCCCTGTGGGGGTGAGAGGTCGGCAGAGCCCCAGGAGCCCAGCCCTCTCCCCATGGCCACAGGACCCGTCAATACCCCTACACCCCAAACCCTCAAACCTCTCCAGGGCCCACACAGCCTAACCCCCTCACACACATCCTCCTGGGAGCCCTACAGAGAACCGCCCACAGAATTCATACCCACAGGCCCCGCCCTGCATACCATCCAGCCAGGTGGGCAGCTGCAGGAGCCCCGAGAGGCCTGGAAGACACCCCCATTTTGGCAAGGAGGGGTGCTGGGGCAGAAGAAGCCAACACTGTCCTGTGAACAGGACACCTCGCAGCTGTTGGGCAGGGGGGGTGAGGTCAGTATGTAGACAAGCAGTACCTGCTTCCCCCTTTGCCTCCAAGGGCTGGTCAACCACAAACAGGCCGTCCCCAGGAGGAAGGCCCGACCCCAGGGCTCAGTGAGTCTCACCCCCGCTTCCCTGTTGGGTACTGCCGGGATCAAAAAACAAACGTGTCCAGGACTGGAAATGGCAGGGACACCCAGCCCCATCAGGAGGGGTAGAGCGAAGAGCCATGGGTGGCGTGTGCTCTCCACGCACCCTCTGCTCCACCTCTACCTTTGCTCATGCTCGTCCCTCTGGGGGCAACACGTCTGCCTGCCCTGGTTTTCTACCCTGAGGGCTCAACGCCAGAGCTCCTCCATGAAGCTGGATCTTTATCTCCAGCTAGATGCACATTCTCCCTCCTGTGACTCCCCAGCTTTCCCTGCACCCTGCCTTGCAGTAGGGTTCTCTGCGTCCCTATCTCAGCCCCAATTTGGGACGTGCTTTCGCTCACACGCTAGTTCATGTTATCTTCACAGCAACCCTCCTAGGTGGACAATACTGCTCCCATTTTACAGACCGGAAACAAACACGTGAAGAGTCAATGATTTGCTCAAGGTTGCTCAACCAGCGAGCAGCAAAGCTGGGACCAGGATCTGGGCCTCTTGACTCCAACCCCACGTTTGGGATGCTGAGTCCCCTTGTGTCCCCACGTATGCCCGTGCATCCTCTGTCTGCGATCCCGTTAGTGTGTGTTCCTCCTGTTACACACCTGGGCCCAGTTCTCTCTGGGGGGCAGAGGCAGGCTCCGGTCTGTGGGTCACAGGGTGCCCCATGGCACTGGCAGCTGAACTGGCAGGCAGGGCCATAGCGGCCAGGGGAGCAGGGCCGAAAGCAGTGTGGAGGCTGCAGCCCAGAGGGACAGGAACATGCCCCACTCTTGGGGTCACAGGAGCTGCTGTTGCCGCAGTTGCAGGGCTTGTCACACTGTGGCCCCCAAACTCCCAGGGCACAAGCTGTGGGATGGGAGAGCGGAAGGGGGTCAGCAGGGGTCTTGCCCCTCCCCAGCCTCCAGTTAGTCCCCGTCTCTGTGTCCTGGCCCCCACACATGCCCCCATGCCCGGCTTTGGCCCCTCCCCCTGTACCACACCTCCAGAAAAGGCTGCTGGCTGCAGTGGGACTCTGCTGGGTGATCGCCCTGGGGGCCTAAGCACCTGTGCCCTGGTAGGGAGGGTGTGCCCAAGGCTTCTGCATCCCTGGAGGCACAAGGGGTCATGCCCTGCCGTCACCAGCCACTCACCACTGGAGCAGTCGTCGCCCCGCCAGTCTTGCACACACTGGCACTGATTGGGTGCCACGCAGCGGCCATGAACACACTCTCGAGCACAGAGCGCTGGGGCAGAGATGGGGTGGGGTGCGTGTGAGACGATGCTTCCACCCCTGCCGTACCCACCTGTTATTCTCTGAAGCCTAACCCCAGCTTCCTCCCACACCGGGGACCTGGAGTTCGCCAAGCAGCAGTTCTGCCTCTAAGATGCAAAGAGACTGAGAGTAAAGCAACTCAGGTCAGAGCTTGTCAAGACCTCAGGATTCCGGACTCCCGAGCTCCTTTCTGTGAAATTCTGGAAGCACCTTGTTGGGAAATGGGCAGGCGGGGTTCCTCACGTAGGGACCAGACATGGATGCTGTCCAGAGAGAGGGTAGGAGCTGGGCTGGGGGCTCAGGCTGGGCAGGGGTCTCTGTAGGGGCTGGTAATGGTCCAAGGCTGAGAGAAGGAGAGAGACAGAGCGGGCTCTGCTCTGGGGGTTTCAGGGTGCTGGGGGCGGGGGACAGGAGAGACTGGACGGCGACAGGTCGAGACAGATAGCAACAGAGAGACAGGGACAGGAAGAGTCAGAGAGAGTGCCAGACACGGAGTCCTGAGACACAGTGACAGAGAGATCCAGGCAGCCCAGAGACAGAGATGCAGAGCCAGAGACTGCTGAGGGACATGGAGAGAGAGGGTGGGAGAGACATAGGGACAGCTAGAGACAGAGGTATGAAGTGGCAGCTTTGTCCCTAGAGACAACAGGGCCAGCGGAGGGCAGAGGAGTAGCCCCACCCTGGTGAGGGCAGGGAAGGACTAGGTGGCCTAGGCTCCACTCATTCCACGGCCCCACCCAGGACTCACGGACACAGGCCCCGCTGCTCTCATAGAAGCCCCGGCAGCACTGCAGGCGCATTCGGTGCTCCGTCTTCACCACCTGGCGGTACACGGTCCGGTAGACAACCCTGGGGGAGACCCGGAGGTGGCCCTCAGTCCTCCCTGCCAAGGCCCCGGCTTCCAACCTTCCACGGTGCAGCACTGGGGGAGGCCTGGGGCACTGCCCAACACTCTGAGCTGGGGTAGCATAGAACATTCCCTCCTTGCCTCCCATCCGGCCACACACATGCACACCATACACCATACCTGCACACCCCAAACACACATACCCCACACACAACATGCCTTGAGTGCCCCGAGGTCAGATGCTCCCTCTGAACTCTAAAGGTTCTGAGAAAAGAATGGGGGTACAGAGGGGCAAGGCCCGGGCCGAGGCAGCTCCTCTGGCACCCATCTGCCGGTGGAGGGGGATGGGCACTCACGTGGGCCGGGGGCAGGTGTGCGGGCTCTCCCAGGGCCGGTCACAGGGCTCCGAGGGGAGCAGGCTGAAGGGGCGGGAGTGTGACTCCTTGGTTGTGGTGGTGAAGCTGCAAGACAGGGAACGGAGTCGGGGCCCAGGGCAGGGAGAGAGGCCTGAGCTGGCAGAGCGGAGCGGGGGGGCGAGGGCTTGGCCACAGTGGGGAATATTTAGGCTTGCTCCCTTGAGCCTAGGATGGACCCCCCATCTGTCCCGCTTCAATCTGGAGGGATCCTCCCAGAGTTGGAATATTCCTGGGAATATTCCATTCCAGCCCTCCATTCCCCGCTGCCTCCTTCTCCCTATGTGGGGAAATTGAGCTAGAACTGACTCCTGGGCGCAGCTGATGGAGATGGGTTGAAGCACTTCTGGCCAAATCTTGCCCTGGGCCTTGTTGCCCAGCCCTGTCCCCTGGGCTCTCCCTGGGCCAGCCCCTCTGCTTGTCCCATAGTGAATGGCTCCTACCCTGTGCTCTGTCCTGCAGCTAGCCTCGCACAGGGACCAAGGGATAGGAATAAAGAAAGGACAGGGTCACAGCTGAGATGGAGACTGAGACAAGATCAAGATGGGGATGGAATCAGAGGCATCCCATCTAGGGGAGCAGAGAGAGTAGAGGCAGAACTAGGAGGGAGATGAGGGCTGGAGAAAGGGAAGGAGGCAAGGGAGGGAACTGGAAAGAGGAGCCCCAGTGGGGAGAATGGGGAGCTGGGGGCTTACAGCCCTCAAGGCACAGCAGGGGCCCTCTCTCACCTTTCCCAGAAGCTGCAGGTGTTGGGGTCCTTGGGGTTGAGGGTTCCAGCCAGCCCCAGGCCCAGGGCCAGGAGAAAGAGGGCCCGCAGAGGTGATGACATTGCTGAGGCCTGTGACAGGGCCAGGTGTGGAGCAGGTGAGGGGCACTGCAGCCACAAACCTGGAGGCCAAGTCGCTGCAGAGACCAGGGGTGGCAGAAGAGATGAGGCTCTGGTCCTCTGGCCCAGGTTTCCCAGGCTCCAGGTCTGATTCCTGACCAGGTAGAGCACGGCCATGCCTCTGAGACTTTCTCACACGGTTTCCTCTGTCTGGACGTCCTCCCCCCCATTCTTCACTTTAAGCACTCCCTTTCAAGGTCTAGCCCAAGTGTCACCCCTCTTTCCCTGCCCTGCTTCCCGATCCACAGTGGCAGACTGCCCCCACCCATCCCTTCCGGTACCCCCAGCACCATTCACCCACACACCACTGTTCTAGTGCCTGTTCCCTGATCATGACCTCTAGAGGCAGGGACCTGTGCCTGAATTCCCAATCCCCAGCACAGCCCCTACCCAGGGCACTTTGATATTATACCAAGGTGTGAAATTGGAGCCGATGAAGGGAAGTTATAAGGGAAGCCAACTTGGGCTCAGTTAGAGGAAGAACTTTCCAAGGTCAAAGCAGTTCTGTGATGGAATCAGCAACCTCAGGTGGTGAGCTCCCCATCACTGGATATAGGCAGGCAGAGGCCAAAACCACCGTGATGCTGTTAGGGGCTTCCTGCTTTATGGGGTGGGAGTAGGGCTAGGTCCAGATGACCTTGAAGGAGAACCCTCCCCACCACTGGTGCGCTGGCACGGCCCATACTGACTTCTGAGAGCCAGTCATGACTTCTCTTCCCAACTCCTTGTTCAGTGCTGTCACAGTAGTAGCTTGAAACCAAGCACGGGGGTGGAAATCAGCAAACATCACAAATCAGGGCCATCCCACCGAAGCCGGTTGCTAAGGCCTTGCCAGCATATGTCTGCACCCAGCTCTAGGTGCTATCACCCAGGGAGTCCCCAGCCTGGCCTCAGACTTCAGGAGAAGCCGCCGCCTCCCTGTGACCACCCACCAGCCATCTGGAAATGGGCTCCTCCCCCCTCCTCCACCCCTGGCCTCGCCCAGTGGGTGGGAAGCAGGTCAGGACCTCAGAGGAGTCTCTTTCTGGCTCCTGAGCTCAGGAGCAGCAGAGGCCCTTGAGCACCCGCCGCCCCCCACCCCGCCAGTTTCAGATTCTCTGTTAACTTGCCCCGGCTGGGCTCCCTCCTCTACGCCGCCCTGAGGCGTCCACATCTGCTTATAATTTTCCCGAGAAGAGAGAAAGGCCGTGGTAGCTGGCCCCTTAGCCCCCTGAGTATCTCTGGAATGCCTGCCTCCAGGCCCCACCCCAGGCCTTCCACCCACACACTCCCAGGGTCCCAGCGGGCCGCTCTCACCTCCCATCAGGGCAGCGCTCAGAGGGAAGCTTCCTAACCTAACCGAACCCCACTGCTGCGTTCTGCCCAACCAGTAAACCCTCCAGCCTGCTCCCCACTCTCTCAGCGGCTGGGCTGGCCCACCTCTCCTCTGCTCCCTCCCACCCACTGCAAATTTCTACCCACCACCCCACTCCTGTCTTGCAAAGCAGCAAGGCCTGCCCATGACTCTGGTTAGTGGCCCCATCACAGCTCCACCAGGGCAGATCTCCACCTGTAGTCTTTTTTGTGTCCCTCCCATCCATCCTCAGTCCCCAGGTAACTCACCAGGCCTCTATGGCATCCTGGGGCCTGAGAAACTCAGGTGAGCCAGGGGCAGGGCGACAGGGCCCTTGGGCCCCAGGGCCTGAGGAGCCCAGAGAGTGTCCTGGGGGATCCCGGTGCTCATGATATGCAGCCTGAAAACAGGAAACAGAGCCTGGCTAGAATGTGTGTATGTGGGGAGGGCAGCAGGCAGCATGATCATGGGCGGAGCATGGGGTGGCTCTGTCCTCCCACCACCCTGAACTTGGAAGGTAGGATGTGGGGGAGGGTGGGGAGTTGTGGGGGAGGGATGCAGCCTGGCCTCAGGGAGCCAGGCCACAGTCAGGAGTGCCCTTCAGCCCTTCATAGTCTGGCCCTTCCACCCACACAACCCCCAGCTCCCCCCCCAACAGTTGGCTCCCTCTCCCAACATCCCCAGACTCTGCCCTTCACCCCAGCCCTGCTCTGGTCACCTTCCCAGGCTCACCCTGTCTGATCCCAGCTGACCTTCTCCCCACTTCTCCCTCGAGTGTGCATGGCAGCAAGCCCATGGACAGGACCCCAAGCCCCCCACGTATCTCCCCCTCTTCATCCCTCAGTCTGGTCCACACTCCCCTCTTCCTGCAGCCCCCGCTGTGCCCCTGGCATGCGGGTCCTGTCCTCCAATTGGAGCTCCATCTGTCTGGATACAGGGTCCTCACCCTTGTCCCTGGGCGAGCCTCATCTCCAGCCACGCAGGGACCCCCAGACTTACCTGGGCCTGGATCTGTCCCCGGAGCTCGAGGCTTCGGTGACATGGACAAGACCTGCAGCAGGAAGGCCCTGATGAGGCGCAAAGGGGAGGGGCTGTCCTTCCTCTCACCTACAGCAGCCCCCTCCCACCAGCCACCTCCTCTTAACCAACTTCTGGAGGAAATGGTTCCCCCCGGGGGACTTTGAGGGGGACCTCGAGATGGGCAGGGGAGCATGCGGAGGGCCTGACCCTAATCCCAGGGGGTTGACTCTAATAACTAGAGGGGTGGGGAGATTCTCTTTTCCCAAGGGCTTCAGGGTAGGACTGGAGAGCAGAGAAGGTCTCAGCTGGTCAGTGGAAGGGGCTGGAAGCCAGGATGGGGTCGGTGAGATCAGTGGCTGGTCCGCAGGGAGGGGAGAGATGAGATGGGGATCCTGGCAGAGAGGGGCAGGGTTTGGCCTCACCAGCCCCAGACCCCGAGGAGGGAACACAGGCCAGACCAGGAGCCCAGAGCTCCAGCCTGGCTGCCTAGGCTTGTTCCCATCTGAGCCTTTGTCCCTGAGGGGCTAGGGAACCTGAGACCCCGGCCCACCCTTCCCCAGCACCTCCAGTCCCAGCAGAACGGGGGCTATTGTGATCACACGTGCCCCTTCAAGGGGTTTAAATCAGACAACTAGTGGCCCCCCATCTGACCCCAGGGGCCCCCACTGTAGGCTCCCTTCTCCCTCTTCCTATACAGATGACCTCTGCCTTTCCCCTACTCAGCCCCCTTCCTCCAGTGGCACCTCTGGATTGAGGGACCCACACACCTTCCCTCACAATTGGAAAACTAGTGCGACCCCATATGTTGTTCACTGCGTCGGCACGGGCAGAGCGCTGAGCAATTTCTGTGGATCATTTCGTGTAAAGCTTATGTCAGCCCACTGTGGTAGGTATGATTATTCATTTTACTGATGAGGAAACAGGCAAGGAGAGCGTAAGTTCCCTGCCCAGGGCCACACAGCCGGTAATATCAGAGCTGGGATCCAAACCCAGACTGGCAGATCCATCCCTGCGGCTCCAGGCTCTCCCGAGCCCAGGCGGGAATCCCAGGGGCTTTACATCTCTTTTTAACAGCCTTGGTTATGGCGAGGGGGAGCCTGGCGGGGGGCTGGACAGGAGAAGGGGATCAGGCTGGGGGCTGCCACAAGAACGCGATCACAGGCGTGGGAACCGGGATGTGTTTACAGTCAAGAATGAGCTGACACTTCTCTCTCCTTCACCTCGAGATGCAAAGCAGCTGGGCGCCTGGCCAGGCCCCCCCCCCCCCCCCCCCCCCGCAGTCCCCAGTCCCGCCTGCGCGAGCCCCCAGTATCCCTGCCCTCTCGGCCTCCAAGCCCACACAGGGCCCAACCCAGCTCGCCTCCCCTGCTCTTCTGTTCAGCCTGATTCCTCTGGTGGGGAGAACCTCTACCCTCACTGTACTCCAATCCTAAACCTGCTAGGAGGAGGGGGATGAGTCTGGGGCCTCTGAGAGGGGAGTAGAGTTCCTAGTGGACAGGAGATGATCCATGTCTATAGAAGGCAGAGAACAAGAGTGGGGCTGATGGAAGTGAGACAGCAAGAGGAACTTCCCCACCAGCTCCCTTCCAGCTGCTCTTCTCTGGGAGGCGGTATCGCAAAGGATACCCTCTGAGCTCTGCATCCCCTCCCACCTCCCCATTCAAACCTGGGTTCGAATCCCATCTCTCAGTTCCCTCATCTCTAAAATGGAGAGGACAATGGTACTTCCCTTTGTAGGACTGTTCTGCGGAGTAATAAATGAGTTGATACAGATAAGTGTCTAGAGAGCTACATAAGAAGCTCAATGAACCATTGCAGTCTCCACGATGGCATCCTCAGCCTCACTCCTCCTGCACCTATCACACCCCTTCTCCACTCCCCTTGGCACTGTCATACTCTTTGAGTATTAATTCCAGGAAAAGCTGTTTCTTTCTTTTTTTTTCCTGAAGAACCCCCAGGATGATCCGGGAATGGGAATAGGGCCTTAGATGCTGACAGAGAGAAAGGAAGTGAGGAGGGGAGGGGACTAGGCTCCCCAGAGAACCTGATCCCCCAGAACGATGGGCTGCCCGCCAGGTATGCCTTCAAGCCAAAGGCGGTTGATGAGGCAGGACGCCTGGATTCTACTTTCCCCCAGCCCTCAGCCTGAGCACCAACTCCAGCTTCTTGCTTGTTTCCACTGGTGCCTCCTCTCTGTCTCCCTCTCCCCCACTTCCCATCTTGGAGGCCAAAGTTTCTAGTACTTAAAAGCTGTACGGCCTCCAGCATGTCACTTGAGCCCTGTGAGCCTCCATTTCCTCATCTGTAAAATGGGAGAATAACACCCCATATCTCCCAGGGTTCAGTGGGGGTTGGAACTGTTGGTTCCAATGACCATCCTGGAACTGAGCCTCAGACCAGAGGCTGCTCAGTGGACATGTGTCAATGCAAAAACAGAATCCTCCAAGTTCTAGGCTCTCTGCCTCTTTCTTTTTGCCTTTTGTCTTGCTCTTCATCAGAAACTGTCTGCTTTCTGTCTTTTTTTTCTTCCTCCATCAGTTTCTTGGTCTCTTCTGCCTCTCTCCTTCCTTTTCTATATCAAGGCTACCACGTACAGTTGTGCAGTATGTTCACTGCACTAGGGGAGCCACCTTCAGGTATGGGGTGTAGGCTGAACTCCAGCCATGATCCACAAATCGAGCCCTGTGTCTTAGCTTGGTGCCAAGGTTGCCTCGCCCTGTAGCTCTCTTGTCTTTCAGGATCTCCCCTGTCTCTGTGTCTGTTCTCTGTGCCCTTTCCTAACCTCTCTTTGCCATGGAGACAGGATCACTTAGTCCTTCCCACTCAGCAGTGTGATCCTGAGTCCAAAGACTTCCCTTCCCTCCCCATACAGGGATGCCCTCTAACCCAGCTCCGCCAGCAGCCTAGACTTCTCTGCTCCACGTGCCACTCAGAACACCCGTGTACACGCTTGTACACACACACATAGAGCCCCTCCTACATCCAGCCAAGCCAGGCCTTCAGCACGCCAGGCATGTCTGCCGGATGGAGGGACAGGAAGCCTGCATGTGCTCCAGAGGCTGGGCGGGGAGGGAGCAGGGGTGAGGGGCCGGCCTTGTGTTCTCTGTGGCTCAGGAAACAGAAGCTAGAGGGTCCTCAGCCCGACCTGTTTACTCATCAGGAAATAGAGAAACTGCAGGGATTCTGATTCACCAAACATTCAGCACGTGCCTACTGGAAGCTAGAGCCAGCCCGGACCCTCACCACCACCCACAGGTGGAGTGGTTGTTATCGCTCTCCATTTCACAGGAGAGACCATGGAGGGTCTCGGGTAAAAAGACTTGCCCAAGGGCCAACTGGTAAAAAGACTTGCCCAAGGGCCAGCAGGATTAGAATCTGCTTCAAAGAACAAAGCAGTGGCGGGTGGGAGGTAAGCCCTGGGGTGACACAGGCCAAGGAGCAGCTCCCCCTGCTGACTGCCACCCCCAGATACTGTTGGAAAGCGCAGCTCTGCTCTGGCCACTGCCTCCCTCTAATGCCTCCGTGGCTCCCCACAGTGCAGGAAAGGGCGCCCGGGGCCCAGGTGGCCAGCCTCTGCTCCCATCACACTGGACATGCCTCTCACCGCACGGCCACCTCTGCCCAGGCCACTCCTGGAATGCCCAGGTCCTACCCATCCTTCTAGGCCAGTCTCCTCCAGGAAGCCCCCTCAGTGGCTCTGCACCTCACCTGTTCCTCCCTTTCCTTGGACCTTTCTCCAGTCTCTTAGCACACTCACCACGGACCCCTGTGGCCCAAAGGACCCCAGTTCTTCCCTGAGGCCGGCTCCATACTGGACATAGACCAGTCCCCGAGAGGCCCAACACTTCCCCAAACTCTAGCCGAAGGCACCAGTGTCCCTCCTCTGGGGGAAGGTGGGACTAACCCAGGTCAAGTCAGGAGTTCACAGGCCCGGGAGCACCTCAAGTCTGATGGACGGATGAGGTAATGTACCCCATCTTGTGACTGCCAGCTTGTGAGTCTGGTTTCCCTACCAGGCTGGGACAGCCTCCAATTCCATTCTTGTCCCAGGCGCTATTAGAGGGCTGCTTACCCCCCAGGTGTTCCCTCAAGGTTCCCATCCCGTGGTCGTTATATTTTTATTAAGGTCTGTCTTCCCCACTGGAATGGAGCACCGTGGGGTCAGGGCACTTCTATGCCTGCCTGACCACTGTGTCCCCAGCACTGGCCAGCACCTACACACACACATCGAGGGTTCCTGGCACCCAGGGGGCAGTAATTAAACATGGTGTGGGGTGGATGGACTGATAAACTCTAAATCCTTTCCGACTTGAGTAAGCCCAACCTTACTCTGTGGGAAACGGGACAGGGAGGGATGTTTGGAGGCTGTGGCTTGTCCCCGGCTCACCAGACAGCAGGACCTTCCTTCTAGGGCCCTCAAGACACAACACTGGTAAGTCAACGGAAGGTGGAGTTCAGAAAGAACTTCCCAGCATTACACAGTAAAAGGCGTCTCCAGACCTGCTCTCCCAACCTCGGGCAGGAATTCCTCAGGGCTGGCCTCCAAGTTCCTCTGGGCTGAGTGTATGGGAGTGCAGGGCACTGAGTCACCTGGAGAGGAGGGAGTGTGCCCGCACGCAGGGCCTGAGCCCTTATCCCGAACCTCCGGCCCAGGGACTACGCCCCTCACTGCCCATCCACACACCACCTCCTACACTGACGGACTAGGCCTCAGATGCCGCTATGTGAGGTGGGGTAGGAGGCACAGGCAGGAAAGGGGACTCACAAGGCTCCATGGCCCAGCACCCACCCGGTGCTGTTTCTGGAGACCTCCATCTGGCCATGTGTGGGTGCTCTAACACCAATTCCTACCCCTTGTTAAATGCACATTGTGAGCCGGATCCTTTCTTTTCATCCTCTCAGCAGTCCTAGAAAGTAGGTACTATTATGCCACCTGTTACGTAGATGAAGAAATCCCAGGGAGTTCCCCGGTGGTCCAGTGGTTAGGACTCAGCGCTTTTACTGCGATGGCCCAGGTTCAACCCCTGGTAGGGGAACTAAGATTCCACAAGCCATGCAGAAAGAAAGGAAGAAGAAAGAAAGCAAGCAAGAAAGAAAGGGAAAGAGAGGGAGGGAGGGAGGGAGGAAGAAAGAAAAGAAAGAAAGAAAGAAAAGAAAGGAAGGAAGGAAGAAGGAAGGAAGGAAGGAAGAGAAAAAAGAAATCCCAAAGAGGTTAAGTCATTTGCCCAAGGTCACACAGCCCACCAAAGGCGGGGTGGGGATTTGGACCACGTCTATCAAGCTCCGAAGGCTGTGCTGCCCCTTTCAGGTCCTTCTACCCCTGTGATTTCTCTTTGGTCTTCGGACTTCCTCCTGTTTGACCTCCTCTACCACCTTCTTGTTCTTTCTCTCAGTCTCTGCTCTGTTTTTCCAAATATGCCTCTCGCTTCCCTCTGGGCCTTGTTGTTTCCAGAAGTCTCTATGCCTCTGCCTGTGTCTTCCTTGTCTGTTGGTGTCTGTCTGTCTCTCTGTATCTCTGTCCTTGTCTTTCCCTCTCTCCCCCCCCACCCCCCCGTCTTCTCTTGCTCCTCCTGCTGTCTTCTCCCCCATAGAGAAGCCTCTATGGTACCTCCCCCAGGACTAGTATGGATACCCTCCCCAGAGCTAGGACGGGCCCTAGGGCCCCTCTTGCATCCCGGGAGGGCTGTCTTTCAAGGTTTCCAAGGCTGCTCAAAGGAGAAGCTCCGAGCACTGTGGTGGAGGCCCTGCCTGGCCCAGGTCCCCTCTCCAGCAGAATGTGTTGGTGGGGGGAGGCAGACAGCAGCCCAGCGACCTCTATCTCTATCCAGGTTTCCGAACTGTGGATGGGACTGCCTGCAGAGCTGGTTTCCTCTTCTGGGAAAGTCTGATAGGAGATGGAAGCGGCTGCAGGGGGTGGGGGGGGTAGTGTAGAAACAGATGCCAACCCTCGGCTTCACCTCCCGTTGAAGAGAGGAAGACAGAGGGGAGCCTGGCTAACCCAGCTCCTAGGTGGCAGGGAGGGTAGCCCCAACTGCAATGGCAAGTTTAGCGGGTAGACTTCGGGAGACCTCAGAAGTGGGAGAGGCAGCAGCAGGAGACAGAGAGCTGGAGAGAGGAGAGCTGTCCCACACCCTGGCTCCCGCGTGCCCACACAGAGGGACTGTATCATGGATTGGGATGGGGTGGGACTCAGACAGCTCCCCGACCCCCCAGGCCCAGCTTAGGCCAGGGTTGAGAGCTGACCCCTTGCCCAATCCTGCCTGGAGCCGAGGTCTGGCTGAGTCTGGGAGCCTGGGAAACTCGGACCAGCACAAGCTGTTCCCATCCCCGGGGACTAGGGTCACAGCCCAAGCTCGGGAGAGGCCACTCATAAAAGGCCAGAGCAGGACAGCTGAAAGTTCACTCCTGGAGGCCGGAGATGGGGTGGGGGTGAGGGATGGCCTTGCTGGGGCCTGGGCTCCGGGGCCCCCCACCCTCACTCCTCCTCACACATACCAGCCCATGGGGCTTTCTGGGGATCCACATGCCTGAGGCCTTGGGCCAACTTCTTAGTCCTCAAACCGGCAAAACTATGAGTCCCAGGGACCTGTAAACCTGGGTCCCTTCCCTCCATCCTCCTCAAACGTGTCTCCTGGTGGGGAGAGGGCCAATACTGTAATAAACACTGAGCAGGCACGGTTCTAAGCAGGAGACATGTTTATGCTCATCTTAGCCTCACAGCAACCCCATAAGGTAGGCACTATATCTTATTATTCCCCTTTTAGAAATGAGAAACTGAGACACAGAGGTGAAGTCTCTTGACCAAGATCCTACAGGTAGTAAGGAGAGGAGTCGAGATTCGAACCTGAGCAGCCTTGACTCCAATGTGGGTGTTCTTAGCACTACACATCCCGTCAGCCAAGTAGAGGGCTTCTCTCTCCAGCCCTGAAAGGGGGCCAGTGGGGTGGTGGCAGCCGCTGGACACACAAAGTCCCATACAAGGGGCTAGGAAACAGCTTCATTTGCATGTCATTTACATGCTGTTTCATTATGGATGGAAACCCCCAATCGCCTTTGGCCCCTCTCCACTGCCCCATCCCCTTCAGGTCTCTCTGTCGGTCTCTCTTTTCCCCCCCACCCAGAGGTCCCCCGGTGCAGGGTGGTCGCGGGACCAGGGGCGCGCGGTCACTCACCTGCCTCGGGACCCTATCTCGCCGTCCGCCTGGGGTGGGGACTGCCGGGGTGGGCCTGGAGGAGGACAGGGCGGGGATCCCTGCGTGGAGTCCCAGGCCGACTGCGAGAGCGGCGGAGTGGCCGAAAGTTGTGGATCGCTGGGCGGGGAGGGGCGCGGAGGGGCGGGGGGCAGGAAGGGGGTGGGAACTCGGGCCCTAGCCAAGGCAGGAAGTTTTGACAAGGAAACCGGGAGCCGGGGGAGGGGAGATCCAGAATGCCCGGGAGGGAGGCTGTGTAGGGGTGGGACCACTGAGGCCGAGCGGCGGGGCCGACCCGACAGCCTGGATCGGGCGCAGAGAGGGGATGAGCAGGGGAGAAGAGCAGAGGCCCCGGGCCCGAGTCCCTCCTCGACTCTTCACCAGCTGTGCGGCCTTGGGGTACTCCGGCCTCAGCTTTCTTATCTGCAAAGTGGGGCGGTGCAGGGGAATCAGTGAGATCGTCTACGTCAGGCACCTTCCCACTGAGGCCCAACAACCGTTACCTTATTAAAGATACAACCCGGGGACCGACCGACAGCATCCCAGACTGGGAGAGGAGCACCGGGAAAAGGCCTCTCCGCTTCTCTGGCCGCCGGAAAGCACCCTGGGGGAGGGTGTGATCCAGGGAAGCAGTGTTCGGCGGAGTCTCCGCCTCTGCCCGCCCCCTTGGTCCAGGGCCCGGGCGCTTCTGTGCACCTCGCGCCGCAGCCTCCGCGCGGAGGCAACTCGAGCCGGGCGCCACCTCGCGGCCAACGTCCGCCTCCCCACAGCCCGCGCACCGGACCTGGGAGAAGGCGTCACTCCGGAGGCCGCCAACCTGTACCCCACCTTTCTTGGGGCACCCTTCCCTTCTCAGTCTCTGAGGAGACAGAGGCAATTTTCATAACAACTAACATTTGCCTTCATCATCGTTAGCCCTTTAGGTGCTGCTTCTTTCAATCCTTAACTCGAGACAGGTTCTATTTACATGACATTGTTCGTGTAATTAGGACATCCGTAAGCGGCAAAAGCGGGATTTGAACCAAAGTCTGTGGTCCGTCTGATTACAAGGCTCCCTCTACAAACCACCGCCCGCGACAGAGAAATCTACAATAGTTCAGGAAGAGTAAAACAGGTACATTCCTCTTTGGCGCCTTTTACAATTCAACTTTTTTGAAGTATAATTGACATAAATTTAAAAACGTACCCACTTAAAAGTGTACAGTTCGATGAGGGTCTTTTACATTTTTTATTATAGTAAAATATAAATAATATAAGTTTTACCATTTTAACCTTTTTTTTTTTTTTT